GTCCCCCAGGGAGGAGGTCACACACAGTTCCATGTAATCGGTTCCCTCTTTCCTACCCATTCTCCCTTTACCCTCCCTGTTTTGCCACTTACACCACTGGTCCTATAGGGCTCATCCGCCCTGGATTCCCTGGATTTTCAGTTCCTATCTGTACCAGTGTACCTAGGCTGCTTTCATGTGCACATGGAGCGATTGAAATACTAAGTCTTAGGTTAGGTACACTTTAGTCCCCTAAGTGACATCTTTACATTTTCACATGTTCAAAACGTCTTCTACAGCAGACAGGACTGTGCAATATGCCGTTTGATTCCTTGACTGCTTCCCTGGATGTTGACTGTGGATCCAAGTAAATTGAAATCCTGAACAACTTCCGTCTTTTCCCGTGATGTTGTCTCTTGTCCCAGTGGGAAGGCCTCTGTTTTCTTTAGGTGGCGTGTGCAGATATAGTGTTTATTTTCATCACTAAGTGTTGCGAGTCCCTTCACTTTACGTGGGGAGGGCGGGGTCATCTGCAGTCACAGCCTCCCTTCAATCCTGATCTTGTGTTCTTATCTATGTACTTGGTACTTCTTATCTATGTACTTGGTACTTCTTATCTATGTACTTGGTACTATGTACTTCAATCGCTCATCTATCCTCAGCATACAGATTGATGGAGTATGGTGAAAAGAGAAACTGTGCTGCCTACCGTCTCTGATTTTAACATGCAGTGGTCCCTTGTTCTGTTTGAACAAACGCTTCTTGGTCTATGTACTGGAATGCTCATTCTTTGCAATGTAACCATAATTTGCTATAATACACATGGCTGAATGTTTCTGTGTAGTCAAAACACAAACAAACATCTTTCTGGGCTTTTCTGCTTTCAGCCAAGATCCATCTGACATCAGCAGTGATAGCCCTCTTTCCACACCCTCTTCTGCTAGAATTCCTACCAATTATCCATGGATGTAATACTATAACAAATTTCGAATTATCTTCAGTAAAACTTTACTTGCATGTGATATTAAAGATATTGTTTGATAATTTCCATATTCCATTGCATCACTTTTCTTTGGAATAAGCCAAAATAGAGCTCTCTAGTAGACTATAATATTGGACGAATTAATTTAAAATTAATGCCACTCCCAGAAAATCAGGAATACCCACACTTAAAGAACGGTATTTCATTAAAAGAATGGTTGTCACCTTGCGGGTATAAAAATCACCTTGAAAATTTGGTAACAATTAGAAATAAGTAGTCTTCAAACAGAGTTCTAATTTGATCAGGCCAACTGGAGTCTAGGGTTCTGCATTCGAAGTACACTTCCTCGATCTGAATAGAAGTGGTTTGAGGACCATGTTTTGCGATACATACTTTTAAAAGCCTCCTTTTTGATCCAAAAGAAAATAACAAACCCAAAGATAAGTTTTGTAAGATAAAACCTTAGAGAACAGGACTGAAAGCAATCGTCAGCATACTGCTTGTCACGAAGAGAATTTACTCGACAGGCCACCCATCCTCTCTTGAGTTTTCACACACAAGTAGATCGCATAGCTGCGCATTGAGGAAAAGAAGCCCCGTTGTTTGAAGCAGAGGCAGATGGTTTGATGTTTTCCTCATGGAGAAGAGAGAACACGTTTAAATCAGTTTTCCTGTCAGCATCGGACTGGATGAGGTGATTGGCTTGAGTTTAGGAGCTGTCTCACTGACATCTTTCAGCATTAGACTCACAGTTATCACAGTTGGGAGCTTGCAGGATCTGAGGCCCACTGAGGGAAGGAGGATGGGGGCTCTGTCTTCAACACTCGGAGAGCTCTTCTCTCTGTGCACAGGGGTGAGTGTGCATCAGTTAACTGCCTGGACGATAGAAGTTGCTGTGTAGTTGCAGATGTCTCTATAACAATGTCAATAACATGTCTGTTTTTCAGGAGGAAGAAAACAAAACATAGACTCCAGATTCCTGCTAACCAAAGAGGACTTTTTGTCTAATTTTAATATTTTTAAGAAAGTAAGTTGGTTTCTCTTTTCCTTAAATTGCTAAGATGGAGTCTTAACACTCGGCTAGAGCACAAGTGAGACCTCAGACCTTCTAGAACAGTGATGAATAGGGAAAGGATCTACCCTGTTCTCTGATGATCTGCATCTGTTTTATATCTCACCTGCCCTCAGTAGACTGGTTTCTGTGCGGTCAAGTTGGGGCTTGCTCCCAGCCACCTTATCACACAGAGTAGAAATGCCCCAGGGTTTCCTAGGCGGAAATCTATATGGGAGTAGAATGGAGGAGAGAACCAGGTTCTCTGGTGGATTCAAGCCACCAACCGTTTGGTTAGCAATTGAATGCCTAGCCCTTGCACCACTGCTGGACCCGCACCCCCCACCCCCATCGCCCCCAACTACAAAGCTGGTGTAATTTCTACCAAGAGGAATTTAAAAAACAGTGGTAACCATGATTGAAGGCAGACTGAATGATAGTTTCTCTTTTCTAATCACCCTGTTAACCTTTTCTTTTAAAAGAAGCATGTCTTAAACTATAAATCTCATCCTGTGGGAGATGGTGGAACTGATAATCCTGCCTTCAACCACATTGAATTGAACGTCACGGACCAAAGCAGCAAGATCAAGGGGACCCGTTTGTGAACGCGCCAAAAGGAGACCGCTGAAACCGTGCCTCTGCTTTCCAGGGTTGCCGGGATCATTGGATCCAGTTTAGCTTGTCATCTTAACTCTCTCATAAGTGATCTGGGGGAACTCGGGGGAGAGGGCATTGCATTTTTTCTTAAAGTCCAGCCTTGTTGCCGTGACTCCGCTCATTCGTGGAGACAACGTGCATGAAGAGAGCACCAGCGCTTCCCTCTCTTTCTCTTTGACTCGGATTTTCACGGACACCGCAATGCGGCCTCTTTCAGACCCTCGCTCTGTCTACATTCTTAAATTCTGTTTTGCTTTGCACTTTTTCTTTTTTTTTAATTTAAACATTTATTATAATGTATTTTTAAAAATCATCTTATTAGGGGCTCATATAACTCTTATCAGAATCCATACATACATCCATTGTGTAAAGCACATTTGTACACTCATTGCCCTCATCATTCTCAAAACATTTGCTCTCCAGCTTTGCACATTTTCATTGCAATTTGCCATCTTGATTTCCTCATTAGTCTATTGCCCTGGACTTGGATATGTCTTGAGACACTAGTGTGCACCATACAATTCAACTCCTTGTTCACTGAGCCCCAACCTGTGCTTTATAAACTCTCAGGAATCTGATAGGAACTCAAGTCTACATATCAATGAAAGATTTGGTGAACAAAGATACGCATACCATTAGGCTTCATGGTTAGGCTCCATAGAGTAAGATAATTCACACTTAGTGCTATTAAGCTGAACTTTTCAATGTCAACAGATTTGCAGGTGATGAAATTAAAAGATGTCATGCTTCTTAGGTCTTAGGGATCCTGAAACCCAGCCAGCTAAATAGCTAAATGACCGGGGACATTTTACCATTTCTCTCTGATGTTCCCAAATTACAACATGTGCTTTATTTTCAAATTTGAAGTTGCAGTCTTCAAATTGTCTAACTGTTTATTTTTCTACATGCCCAGCTTAGAGTTTGGCTATAGACTTTCATCAGTAACTTATTTATTCTATGGTACTATATTAGATACAGACAGTCCTTGGGTTATGAATAAGATTTGTTCCTAAGTGTGTCATTCAGTCAGTTGAAGACCTGCATATGGTTTTTATTTAGCCTTAGAGTTGCTATGAGTTAGAATCCACTGAAGGACAGTGGGCTTAAAAAAACAAAATCAAAATTCACTGCCATTGAGTCGATGCCAACTCACAGTGACCCTGTAGGACAGGGTAGAACTGCCCTCATGGGTTTCTGAGCCTGGAACAGTTCCAGGCTCAGAAAGGGAGTAGAAAGCCGTCTTTCTCCAGAGTAGAGGCTGATGGTTTCAAACTGCTGACCTTCCAGATCGCTGCACAGTACATAACCACTCTGCTGCCAGGGCTCCTTGCCAGTGAGCTTAGTGGAAGAAAAACACTTTTTAATGATTTTAACTGGTACATATACCAAGTGAAGGTATTTGTGAAGAAGTCCTGCAATAATTTGGTTAAGCTTTTTCAAAGTGGGAGCAATTTACATGAAATTAAAGGACAAGGAGGAGTTGTCTGTAACTTGGATGTTTATAACCCAGGGACTTATTGTACTTATGTTTTTTATATTTAAAAAATGAGTGATAAATATTTAGGTACATTAAAGTTGCCAATTGCAAAGTTAAGAATTAAAATCATAAGAAGTAGTATTTATCTGAGGCACAGATGTTTCTATATTTAAATATTATTCCTATAAAATATGTATTCTATATTTCTTATGTATATAGATGTTATTTTTAATCAATATATTTGTAAGAAATATCAAATTTTGTGAATCTACAGTATTTTAATGAATAGATCTACTATTGTATGCAAGTATGATTTGAACTATATTTATTTAATAACTCTAAATGTACATGTGTATATAATGCTTCAATGTTGGAAATTAAAATCATTTTATTTAAAGAACTTTTTCCTTTCTTTTACTACTGAGGAGTTTTCCAATACATTCTTAGTGAGAGAAGAGGCTCTTATTCTTGTCATGTGGTTTTAGACAAAGTACATCTTATGGCATCAGCACTATTGATAATTTGCATTTGTCAGCATGGGAGATGGTTCACTAGAATTCTTAAAAAATCACAGTCAGAGCTCTCCCGGCGGTCCCGTGGATCTGTGTCTTGCTTCAACAGTGTTTGAACGGAACAGACCCGGGGACTCCCTGCCTCCAACCTTCCGCCGCGCTCCAGTTTCCTCTCAGAAGTAACTTCGGGACCATCCGCTTGGGACCAGCCCCTCTTCTTGGGACCAGCGAACACTTTTATTCGGCGTGTGGTGACCTCCAAACCGACGCAGCATGAGCTCTCAAATCCATCAGAATTATTCCGCCGAAGCTGAGGCCGGCGTCAACCGTCTGGTCCACCTGCACCTGCGGGCCTCTGACACCTACCTCTCTCTGGGCTGCTTTTTCGACCGCGACGACGTGGCCTTGGAAGGCGTGGGGCACTTCTTCCGCGAGCTGGCGA